CGCATGCGCTTGCCAGACAGCCAGAGAGAGACATAGACACAGAAAGCGAGAAATCACCTCCCAGGGGGGATGGCCACGCCACAATCCCTTCTTCTCCATTCTCCTCTTGGGCGGGATCTTGGGCACGCACGCACACGCGCCCAGCGTGAATTTTAAGCCACCGGGTCCAGGACACGAACCACAGTCAACTACATGGGAGTCCAGCGACATAGCCATTACGCTAACTGCTGGTCCCAAAATAAATAATTTTTAAAAATAGTCAAATGACCTAATGTATTTGAAATATTAGTTCACCACACAATAAGCATTCAACAATGGTAGTTATAATGATGGCTACTAAATTTCTATTTATAGTCCCTATTTATGCTCATAAGTTACATACTGCCTATTGGCCATTTTTACCGCATCCATTCAGTTCATTCATTCACAGATATTTACTGAATACCTATTATATGCCAGGCATTGATTTATAATTGAAGACAAAATAAATATGGTTTCAGCTCTCATGGAGAGAAAAACAAAGTAGGTACATCAACAGATATTTAAAATTAAAAAAAATTTGCTAAAGAGTGGGACCACCAGATGGCATAATGGATACGTCACTGGACACTCATGTAGTTGACTGCAGTTCAAATCTTGGATACAGTAACTCAAAACTTATGCCAGGCACATGCGCATGTGTGCCCAAGATCTTGAGAGGAGGACAGAGGAAAGGGGATTGCAGCATGGCCATTCTCCATGGGGGGTGATTTCTCGCTTTCTGTCTCTGGGGGTCTTTCTGGCGTGTGCACATGCCCTATGGTGAAAATCTCTCTTTTTAAAAAAAAATTGTTAAAGGGTATGTGTACTCACAAGAGAGAAACAGAGACAGAGAGAGAGATAAAGAGTGAAAATGAGAAAGCATCCCCCCATGGGGGATGATCACTCAGCAATCCCTTCTCCTACATTTTTCCTTTAAGGATTTTGGGAGTACATGCACACACATCAAGTGTATTTGTCAAGCCTCTGGGTTTAGGACTTGAACCGTGTAGTAGGCCATGTGAGATACAGCCACCTTAACCACCACACCACCAGATAGTGCATCTTATGGTTTTTGATTACTGCTATGTTCCAAAGTCAACTTAAATGTAACATGTCTAAAACTAACTTTATCATTTTCGCTCCAAACCAAATCATCAGGCACCACCGTCCATCTGGTCAACCTATCGAAGAAGTAGAAACCATCTTACACTCTTCAACCTTCATTGACATGCTCCTGTCCAATTCCTTTCTACTCTCATCTGGCACTACCAACAGCATGCACCAACCCCAAAAATCAATCTTGGAAATAAGATACATGGATTCAGAGTTAAAGAAAAGTTTCTGAGACATGAAATTAGGGGCCAGTCCATGACCTGGTGGTTACACAAGCTGGATCCCACATGGCTGAGTGCGTGGTTTGAGTCCCAGACAGGTAACCTGAAAAAAAAATGCTGGGTATTTATGTGTGTGTGCCTAAAATACTGAAAGGAGGGAGAAATGGAGAAGAAGGGATTGTGGTATGGCCATTCCCTACCACGGGTGGGAGGCGATTTCTTTCTCTCTCTCTGTGAGGGCACAGGCCCTCTAGCAAATTAAGAGAGAAGGAGAGAGAGACATGGAATTAGTTGGAAGGTATTAATACATATAAAGAATGTGGCAAAGTGCTGGCACAGTGGTAACACAACTGGACTGACACGGGAAGGATCCTTCCTGGTTCATGTCCTAGTTCATATTCTCTCTGTTGTGCTAGGTGTACATATGCCCATGATCCAGGTCGGCTGAGACTGGAAGTGGATTGTAGCATGAAGACATTGTTGCAGGCTCCTTCCCCCTCACCCCTCCCTTTATATCTTTCTCATGGAAAAAAAATAAATGAATAAACTTGAAAAAAATTTCAAAAAGAATTAGCAGTGAAAATCTGGGCAGTCCTTCTCATTAATCTTCTGCAGGTATTTCTTTCAGATTTTAGCCTAATGTTCTTCAATTCACCTGGTTTGTTTTGAATGTGCTCTCAAATTTAAGTGTTGAAATTTGATTGTGATTGAATTAAATGGGTGAAAATACCATCTAACTATGGTGTAGAAAAGTGGGGCCTTTGGGAGGAGGTTAGAATTAAGGTCATTTAGGGAATGGTCCCTGTGATTGAATCCTGATGGATTTATAAGGCGAAGGAATGAGATCAGAATAGAAACAGATAGACACAAATTCATGTGCCCCTGCCCTCTACTATGCTATGGCCTTGGACTTTGGAATTCCAAATCATAAGCTGAATAAACTTCTGTTCTTATAAATCGTCCATTCCAGGTATTTTCTGTTATTGGCAATAGAACAGCATTCACACAGCTGTCAGAATTATCCATCTAGTGAGCACATGTGAAAACATTCTTCCCATCTAAAACTTCTTAATCGCTCTTCATTGTCTAAATTCTCAAGTCCTTAGAATTAAAGACTCTTGGCTTGGGCCAGCAGGTGGCATGGTGGTCAAGGTGCTGGACACTCCTACTATGGCCGACCACGATTCAAGTCCCAGACCTCGTGGCTTGTTTTCTCACTCTTTCCCTCTCTGTCTGTCTCTGGTCAAATTAAAGTGAATGAATGAATAAATAAAATGAAATAAATGCTTCTTTGAAAACAACAGCAACAACAAAATCTTGGCTCGGGGCCAGCAGGTGGCATGGTAGTTAAGGCGTTGGGCTCCCATGTGGTCAATGGTAGATGGAGTCCTGGACCTGGTGACTTGCTTTTTCCACCTTCCCTTTCTCTCTGTCTCTGGTCAAATTAAAAAAAATAATGGTGATAATAAATAAAATTAAATAAGTAAAATTTTAAAAACCCACAAAACTCTTGGCTCTGTGCCTTCTCCAATCCAGTATTTTACTTTGTCCCTGTTGAGTTGTACATCTTGCCAAACCAAACCTTTTGCCTTTTTTCCAATGCACCAGAATGTAAGCTCCTCTTGTGTGGAAGTCCCCACTTCATCTTTCAGCCAATCTCATGTATGCCTGGTCTTCTTGCAACACTGAACTCAAGTGTTGTCTACTCTAAGGAAACTTTCCTGAACTTCTGGTGGATCCAACACCTAGGCTGATCCACCTGAAACATGCCAGGCACACATTCAACTGCCCCAAATCCAATGGGCTGAAGGACCGACAGAAGGGGATCACAGTGTGACCAGACCTGTGAAGAATGCTCCCCAAGGCCCTAGTGTATGCACATGCTACCATCAATAAAGGAGAAAAAAGGATATTCATATTCTTAGTTATTTTTAACTTCTCATCTTCTTCTGATGTGTCCCCCAAATGGACCTTCTTTAGCACATTTTTGACATACACTGCATCTCAGCCTTTCTTGTTGGTCTGCTCTTTTTCATTTAATCTTTTCTTCTTTTTGGTTTTATAACTTTATTTGAAAACCAGCAGCAGCACATTGATTATAGATTTTTCAAAGTGGTCACAGGTACATATGTCAGCAGAGTGTAGAGCTTGTTGGGTGAATCTTCGTCCTTGTTTCGTTTTCTGGATAACTGCACATGGATTTGACATGGGACATTCCTTATTCCTTTGGCCCAGACAGCTTTGTTGAGCCTGGTATCAATGCACACATCTGGAGTCCCCATCTCCTTCATGGCAAATTTCCAGATTTCTTTGAGTGCCTGAGGGGCACGTTTCTTGAAGCCCACACCATGGATGTGCTTATGAATATTGATGGTGTATTCCCAGGTATCCACCTTGTTGATGGCAGAACGACTCTTCTTCTCCCCACCCTTCTTTGAGGGAGCCATTCTGCCTGGCCTAAGCTGAAAAGTCATTTAATATTTTCTTAAAAATTTTTGGCTGATAGGATGCTCAAATACTTCTCTTGGTTGATCTTTTTCCTTGTTTCTTTTCCAGGATGAAGGAGTCATTTCATTCTGGTTTCACCCATTTTTCCTAATTATTTATTTCACAATTATATTCCTTTACTAAGAGTAAACACAATTTTCATACACACTCACATAGATGGGCAACATCTGTCATAGACTGAGTCTGTGTCCTATTATATAGCTATCATTTTGCCTTGTTTTTGTTTGGAGTGCTTGAAGATTTAGAATGTTTCTGATCTGGAATGGGAAGGAGGAAAGGGTTGTGCCCTAATGGAAATTATTAAGGTCAGGACACAGAGCTCTCAAGTATGGACAGTGTGATTTAGGAGAAACTCTTGTTTCTAGAATTTCTGAGTAATCAGCATATAGGCACTGTAGAGTCTGGATCCAGATAGCCTGTGTTTGCTGTTTATTAATTTTGCTACTTATTAGTTGTATTTCCTTGAGCAAGTTACCTTACCTTTCCATGCCTCAGTTTCATTTTCAGTAAAATGAAAATATTTACCACTCAGGATTATTTTGTGGACTAAAGACTTGAAATACTTTGAGCAGTACATGGACAGAGTGACATAATGCTTATTTTTACCTGGTTACCTCATAAGAATTTCCAATACAGAATCAAAACTTTTATTAGGCAGTCCCATTTTTGCTCAATGTCATATAATACATTTTACAAGTTGTTCACATTCTACACCCTGTCCCCAAACAACACCTGCTGTAACAACAAAATCCGACCGTCTTTTTCAGTCCCTTCCCCTCTCCAAACCTGCCATTTTCTGTCTCTCAACCCCAGTTTAGAATTGCCGGGAAGTCGTGAATGAACAAAGCCTGGTTCGTTATTTATAGCCAGCGCAGTCTCATCTAGTGTAAGCAGATCTGGCAGCTGTCTGGGTATGCCAGACGGGAAGGGGAGGAGGTGCGGGGACATAACAGAGCTTGAGCCAGAGAAGGCCACACCCAGCTCTTACCCTGCTGCAGGCCTCCGCTCGGGCTTAAGAGCCCTCTGCCCAGCGGGCAGAGGCCGGAAGTGCTGTCCGTCTGGGGGCGCGGCCAGGAGATTTAAGGAGGAGCCAGGGGGCATGCAGCCAATCGGAAGCGAGTTTTCTAGCGGAGAGGGCGGAAGAGAAGAAGTCTAGTTCCGGACGCGGCCGGCCCCGCCGCCATCTGTCACCTTAGCTCCGGCACCAGCAGCCGGTCGCTTCTGTCCCGCTTATCTCCTCGGTGGAGCTTGCTTCCCGTCCTGTCACTTCTCTGCTCTGTCCCGGTTGCTGCCTTCTCCCCCCAATGGATCTAGTCGAAGTTGCATCACCCGATCCCGGGCCCGCAGCGGCCTGGGGACCCAGCAAGGTGAGTGTTAGTCGGGACTGGCGTACCTGCCTTGTTCACCTGGGCTGGTTCTTTCAGAAGGCCCGGGCGTGGTGACTCCATAGGCTACTCGGGAAGTTCTGGGGCGCGACTCTGGCTACCTCAGCAAGGGGCTGCAGCCCGTGGCGTTGCGGCAGTGGTAGGGAGTGGGAAGAGGCGGCAATGGCTCTCACAGACCACCCTGGGTGGGTCGGGGTCCCTCGTGAGTTCAGCGCCTTGCTTTCTGAATCCCCGCAGCAGGACTCGCTTACAGGCGCTGACAGCGAGGGAGAACAAGTACGGTCTTGTTTTTCACGGACCCAGTGAGTCAACCCAGTGCACAGAAAACCAGACCGAAACTTGGTTCAGGAAGCTGTTTCCTAGGTTTGACAATGTGGTTATCCCAGTTCGGTAATTTGTTGTTGTTGTTTTAAGTAGTAAAAGATAAAACCAAGGGGCATCATTCCTCTCCCGACACTAATAATCAAGGGTACACAACATATGGTAAAGGGTTATGAATTTTCATTTTCTGCCTGGGCCTTCATCTTTACACATTTTCCTAGAATGACAAACTAAAAATGGTTACTTCACATTTAGTTTCTGGTTCCCGGGCTGCTCTTTCTCACAGGTTCATTAGAAGGATGAAAAGACCTGCTGCTCTATTGAGAATTTGCGTGAGATCAAGAGTGCTTCCATGGAAACTTTGTGTTCCTTGGATTAAGGTTGTTTAGGAATCTGTTTTTATTTATTTATTTTTTTAGCTTCATAATTGTTCTCTGCATGTTAACACAACATTTGTTCCATTTGAAAGGTCCCTTGCTAATGTCGGATCTGCAGGTCTGGTCTTAATTGACAAAGGGGTAAATAATTAACTATTAAGTAAAGAAAAAATCATTTCATGACAGTTCACATACAGTTATAGGAAGAATCTAATGTATTCCATTGGAAAACATGGTTATACCTATTTTGTGTATTTTTTGTGTGAAGGCCTTGTTTACAAGGTCCATATCAGTAGACATAAAAGGACAAAGTCAGTGGACAGACTAATAAATATTCTACATGTCAAATTCCTCCAGTTAAACATCTGTAAAAGCTGGTGAAAATGCCAAATGAGACAAACTCTGCTTAGGATACATCCTAACTTGAACAAATTCCTCTTAAGAAAACTAAGTCCATAATAAAATATTTTATCAGTCATGTTTTCATTTAAGTGACATCTCTGGAGCTATAACATTTCATTTCTTTCATTTAACAAAAACTTACTCTTAAGGTTTATTGATGTCTTATTGGGAAGATGGGAAAATAGAAAGAGGCTGCAAATATCATTTAACACCTTCTCTAACCTTGTGGAATACTAAAATAATTGTATTGATAGAAGCCTATGTGAAGGAAGTGAAAATTTGAAGAAGGTCTTGGAAAATGGAGAAAAAGGTTAAGGGCCAACAACTCTCAAAATTTTTTAGTTGGGACCTCTTTATACTCTTAAAAATTATTGAGGACCCCCAAAGAACTTTTATGTTGGCTATAATCTATTTTTTTATTGAGGACCCCCAAAGAACTTTTATGTTTTCTATAATCTATTGATATTTGTTAAATCAGAAATTAAGACTGAAAAAATAAAAATTCATTTAAGTAATCTCATAGTTGTATTAAAATAATATATATTTATATTAAAAAGAAACTGTTTTCAGCCCAGCTGTGGTATGATACTGTGTGGTTCTGAAACAATGTGGTGGATTGGAGTTTGGTTTGGGGATTGAACTGAAAACTGGGCATAAGCTTGTGTTTCTGTTATCCTAGCTTGCTGGGAAGCTGTGGGAACAATTGTGGGGTGAGACCCAGTTGAGGATGCTTGTTTTTCTCAGAAATAAATAAATAAACCTTAAAAAGAAAAAACAAACCCTATTTTTCAAGACAAAACAAAAAAACTTAGTAAATAGTATTTTTTTTTTTTTGAGAGGTTTTTGCTATAGGGCATATGCACTCATCAGAAAGACAGAAAGACAGAGAGACAGAGAGAGAGAAAGAGAGAAATCACCCTCCAGCGGGGATGGCCATGCCGCAGTCCCTTCTCCTCCATTCTCTCAGGATCCCAGGCACACATGCACACATGCCCAGCGTGAGTTTAAGCCACCGGGTCTGGGATTTGAACCGTGGTCGGCTACATGGGAGTTCAGCGACATAACCGTTACGCTAATTGCTGGTCCCAGCATTGTTTTACATTTAAGCTTTTTTTTAATGTCTGGTTAAATAGAAGATACATGGATTCTTATATGTTCTTTTTTCATTCAATCTATTGTAATGTTTCTGTTGAAGTGTATGTGGAAAATCCATGCTCACAGATATGTAGGTTATAGCAGGTATGAATGAAGATAGGTAATAGGAGCACAGTAGATTTACTGAGAACAAACTGAGTTACTCTGTAAAAATGTACACTTAGGGACCAGCAGATAGTGTAATGGTTATCTTACTGGACTCTCAAATAGTCTACTGCAATTTGAGTCCTGGACCCGGAGGCTTAAAACTCATACTGTGTGCATGTGCGTGTGTGCCCATAAACCTGAGAGAAGATTGGAGGAAAGGTAATTGTGGCATGACCATTCCCCTGGGGGATGATTTCTCACTTTCTGTCTCTGTTTCTCAGGCAAGTACGTGTACCCCATAGCAAAAATCTCTCTTAAAAAAAAGTACATTTGTATCCTAAACCTACTAAGAAAATTTCAGAAAACACAGTGTATTAGCACACTTTCCACTAGTCATGATGATGATGGAGGATAATGATGATTCATTACATCTGTTGTAGAATTGGAAACTCCATACTCTTGAAAGAATGAGAGTAACTAAGACTAAGAATGTCTTAATGCTATTATGAAATTTTGACCTTGCAGATCCCACATTAGAGGGTCCTAACTGGTCTTAGGGTGCCAGTTAGAAAATGCCAAACTACTGTTATGGACGAGGACTTTTTTTTTTTTTTTTTTTTTAAGAATTATTGGAGCCAGCAGGTGGTATGGTTGTTGGGGGCACTGGACTCCCACATGGCTGACCATGGTTTGAGTCTTGGACCTGGTGGATTGCTTTCTCACTTTCTCTCTCCCTCTCTCTCTTCTTCTCTCTCTCTGGTCAAATTAAACTAACTAAGTAACTTAAATAAATAAATAAATAAAGTTAAATAAAATAATTTTTTGAGAGGTTTTTGCTATAGGGTGCATGCGCTGGCCAGAAAGAGAGAGAGAGACAGACAGAAAGTGAGAAATCACCCCCCCCAAGGGGATGGCCACACCGCAATCCCTTCTCCTCTATTCTCCTCTCAGGATCTTGGGCACGCACACACACGTGCCCGGGTCCAGGACTTGAACCGTGGTCAGCTACATGAAAGTCCAGTGACATAACCATTATGCTAACTGCTGGTCCCTAAGTAAAATAATTATTTAAAAAAAGAATTATTAATTTGATTTAATTAATTAATTTATTTATTTTAATTTGACCAGAGAGAGACACAGAGAGAGAGAGAGAGAAAATGAGAGAGAGAGAGAAAGAAAGTAAAAGGGAGAAAGCAAGCCACCAGGTCCAAGACTCGAACTATGGTCTGCCACATGGGAGTGTCCAGTGCCTTAACCACCATGACATCTGCTGGTCCCCATGGACAAGAATTTTTAAGGAACATTCCAAGAAGGGAGAATTGACAATTTGTGTAGGCCAAAGTGATGAAGTGTATAGCTCTGTTGGATAGAGAGCTATAAAAAAACCAGAGTATTGGTATTCCTCAAAATCATCAAGGTCATCAAAAGCAGGAAAGTCTGAAAACTCAAGCCAACAGGAGCCATGACCACCAAATATACTGTGGTATCCTGGGTGGGATTCTAGAATTGAGAAAGGACATTATGGAAAAACTAAGAGAATATGAATAAAATACGGACTTTAGTTAATAATACTTATCAATACTGGTTCACTAGTTGTGACAAATGTACAATACTAATCCAAGATGTTAATAGGAGGGGAAAATAGAGATGGAGTATTTGGGAACTCTGCTATGTTTGTAATTTTTCTGGAAATCAAAAATTATTCTAAAAGTTTTGTTTTTTAAATTTATTAATGTTGTTGTATAGACCTAGATCACTTTTTCCAGAGGCTTTTGCCTTGAGATGTAAAATTACTCAAATATTCTGCCTAGATTTTCCCCTTCTACCTACATAGTTAGAAAAAGGGAACTTCATATAGGTTTTCTCTTGATTCGCTTCAAATAGAGGACTGAGTTTTTGTTATTAGGCACCTTTTTCATTTTTGCTGTGCTTCGTTTTACTTCATTCTTTCTTCATAATAGCATTTTTTTTTCTTTAAAGAAAATGTGTGTGCCTGCGTGCCTATGAGAGAGAGAAAGTGAGAAAGCACTTTTCCCGTTAGAACCTGGTCACACAACAGTCCTTTTTTTTCCAGTTCTCTATCCTGTCAGGATCCTAGGCACCCTCATATATATGTCTGATGTGTTTTCAAACTGCTGGACTGGGACTCAAATGCTGGTCAGCCATGTGGGTTCCAGCTTCCTCTGTACAGTGCTTAACTACTACAATATTGGAGCAGCTCAGAAAAATCTTTTTAATAAGTGGACAGGTAACTAGGGGCACTTAGCTTCTTTAGAAGCTGGAGGGAAAGGATTGGCATATTGGCAGATACCCTCTAATCTGCAGCTAGCCAGGCATGGGAGAATGTGATAGCAGTGAAGGACCCTGAGCAACAGAACTCGGTGGTAGCAGTTTCACAAAGGAGAGGAAACACGATGGGTCTTAAGGTTCTTTAGCAACCAGGAAAAACAGAATCAGGGAGCTGGTTTTGTGTTTGACGGATATCCTTTTAAGTAGAATAACTATCTAGAGGGCCTGCCCCATGGTTAACCCTGGTTCTAATACCAGCCCTCATGACTTGAAAAACATGCTGGGAGTGTGTGTGTGTGAAGGGGGTGCTTTCTCTCTCCCACCTTCTCTGATTTGTGTATGTGCCCTCTGGCAAAAAGAAAGGAAGGAAGGAAGGATACCTCATTCTCCTGCAACCCTAGCATTACATGGGGTTTCCTATCAGATCTTGTTGCTGTGGGGAGTTTATATTGATAAACAGAATATTGAGAAATGACTTCAGATACTTAGGACAGAGCAAGATTATGAAGTTTCCCTGGATTTATTATTAATATTTAATATAATTTCTTTATTAGCAAAGAGTGATTTTTCTGAAGAACCACAAGATGATGGAGATTGTTCTGCATGTATCCCTGGGTGCCTGTGTGTAGGAGAAGCCTCCAGTGAATGTTCTAAACCCCGCTTCTGGGTGGTGAACCACTTGTGGCTGTGTTAAAGGCCTGAAACGAATTGCTCCCCCCTGCCTAGATGCTGTCCCTTACAGCCCAGAAAAATGTCATGGAGGGCTTCCGATGGCTGGTTTGAAGAGCGAATTTGATTTCAAAGTATGGGAGTGGCAACCTTTCTGAAATCTTTATTTACTCACCTCATCAAGGAAGTTGCCTCAGTGTGGTATGGCCCAGCTGAGCTGGTCAGGTACAGGAAGTATAGCTCTAGAGTCTAAGGCACTGGGGAGCACAATCTGTAGGAATGGGCAGTTAGGGTATCTTGGTGCTATTTGTGGTCTCTACATTTCCCTTTCTGATCCAATCTTTTGGAAGTATGTATATCTGTGCCTCAAGGTAACAAAATCATTGCCTGCCAGTTTTGCCTCTTGTTAACTGATACTGTACCTTAGCAGAATTACTTGACAGATGGCAAAAGACTAGCATCCTCAGAAGTGGGTGGGCAAGGTGGAGGGAAGGACCTTAGAATAATAGAGCCATAGAAAGATATTATAATGTACAGCCTAGGGACAACCTGGCAGTTCCATTAAATAGCTCAGTGTTTCCTTTTGACACTTAACTAGTCAGTAAATACTTGAATGCCTTTTTTAGTCCACATTCTGTGCTGGGCTCTGAGGATGAGAAGCCCCACTCTTAAAAGCCTCATGCTCTATTGTGGCTGATGCATTAATTCTGTTACAGTGATGGGTTCTACACTAACAGTGTTTGCATAGTGGTGATGGAACACAAAGGAAAAGGTCCAACTCCGATGACAGTGAGACAGCCTTATAAAGAAGGTGCCATTTAATTGGTGTAAACAGAGAAGAGGACAAAATCCCTGAGAGAGAGGACACGAAGGCGTGGAGGGGGAAAAGCATGCCATATTTGGCTTGTAATTGATGTTACTAGAATGTAGGCCAGATGGTTGAGACAGGAAAAATAAATAAGGGAAAGTTGTGAAGAGCATTCTTTGCTGAAAATCAGGATTTTATGTTGTAGACAGTAGGTTAGTTTGCTTCTGACATTCCAGGGTAAGATAGTGAGGGAAGCAGTATAACAAAATGCTGAATGCAGCCTCTTGAGTCTTACTGCCTTGGTTCAAATCTTAGTATTTCCATCTACTGAGTTACTTTGAGTTTAAAGATAAAGACCTTTTATGTATCTTGGTTTCTAAATCTATAGAATGGGGATAATATTACAGTTACTGTTTTATGACCTTATGTAAGTTATATATATTTAACCAGGTGACTTAAATATAGTGAATATTCAAATGTAGTCTGTTATGCTACTATTAGTCATTGTCAAATGTGATGGTGAATTCTAAGATAGAGAGAATACAGTCACCTGCATTTTGGAACCTGGACTTTGAGGTGGCTAATGAGACACAGAGCATTTCTAGGCCAAATAGTATTGTATTTATCTAGAGGATACTGAAGGAAGTCAGCAGAATCATGGTCAAAAGATTAGTTATGTTCTCCAGATTACAGAGCATGTCAAGACTCTGGACCTCAAAAGTCTCACCAGGAGAGCACTCAATTATTTATAAACTCTGAGTCCTTTCAGAAACTTCCCTTTTCTCTCCAAGTTTGGCCTTACATAATGCTTGAACAATTCTGCAACAGACAAATGTAGGTATGTGCTAGGGGCCAGTAGTGTTTTCTCAATCTCAGTCCAGTCTCTAGGTGGAGACTAGATAAAACTAGTCTGATTCAGGCATAAATATAGTTTTCATTTATTACTCTTAGGCTTCACCTATACACTGAACAAGGGTCAATTGCCCATTTGTTTCTGAGAGACATGCCAACAGGCCCTTGGACCAGCTAGAAGGCTGGTTATGGTTAAACTTTGTTAAATTGTGTGTTAGCTAAAAACAGATGTCATCACGTACTGTGTTCTGTGATATGTTAGACATTCGATAATAGTTAAGGAAAGAGTTTGGATTTATCCTAAAGGCTGTGGGAAACTGAGACTTAAAAGACTTAGGTATAAGGAAATGGAATCCATCTGCATTTTAGAGAAACCATTATCTTGTGTAGAAAGATTAGTTAGGAAACTCTTAAAAGGGGGGGTGGGGAGGGACCAGCAGTTGGTGTAATGGCTATGTCGTTCAACCATGGTTGGAGTCCTGGACCTGGTGGCTCAAACTCATACTGGGTGTGCCCAAGATCCTGAGAGGAGAATGGATCTCCTCACACACATGCGCCTGTTGTGAGCCACCGGGTCCTGGACTCGAATTGCGGTTGACTACATGGGAGTCCAGTGACATAGCCATTACGCCAACTGCTGGTCCCAGCATCTTACTTAGTACTGATGATCTTAACCACTAGACCATAAAATGTAATCATTTGCTGCTGCTAAGTAAAGCTTGTCCCCTCAAAAATTATGAATTGTGAAATAAATGGATAGTTTGTATTTTAAGAAGACTGAGACAATGATGTTGTTGAGGAAGGCTAACTGGGTTTTATAGAATATTCCTCTGCTATAGTTGTTTCAAGAATCTGTTTCTTAGCTCATAAATACACTTCTAAGTATGACTTCTGTTGTTCATTCTTGTTTTAGTTTTAGCATATCGCAGGATGTTTGGGTGGGGCTGATGCACACTTTGTACACTTAGAAAACTTAACTGCGTAAATTAGAATGAGATATAACTTCTCAGTAAGCTTTGACCTGAACTTGTTGGTATAGTCTATCCTATAAGAAAAGCTACTTGGGAAGACCAATTTTAAGCAGAAGTTTGCTCGTTGAGCAAGGAATTGGAACAAGGGAGGTACATGAACTTGCACTGGGATGATGTTATGATAGCTGGTGCCTCCCCTCACCTGTAAGGACATACCTCCAAGGAGGCTAGTACTTTTGGCTGTTTTAGGTTACATTTATCCTTGATTAGATTTGGGCTGGGAGATATTTTTACTGTTGAAATGATTTCTGCAATAGCTTTTATTTGGGTTTTTAACTATTTTAATTCTCAAAAGATAGCCTTATTTTGGGGACAGCAGGTGCCGAGGAGGTTAAAGTGGCTAGATTCTACATGACTGATTGTACAGTTTGAGTCCTGGTCCTGGCATCTTGAAAATCCTGCAGCATATGTATGTGTGCATGTCCCAAGTCACAAGAGAAGGATAGGGGAGAAGGGATTGCAGTGCAGCCATCTCTCTCCAGGACTGAGTGGTGTTATTTTCTACTTACTCTCTCTCTCTTTCTCCCCGGTGAGCACTCAAGCCCTTTAGCAAATCTGGAAGGAAAAAAAAAAAAGAAAACAACCAACTTTTTTTTTTTTTAAAGCTTTTTAAGAGAAATTTTTTGCTATAGGGTGTGTGTGCTTAACAGAGACACAGAGACAGGAAGACAGAAAGCAAGAAATCACTGTGTGAGAAAATCATCCCCTGGGCGGGGGGATCAGCAGTTAGTGTAATGGCTATTAATGACAGTGTCACTGAACTGCCATGCAGTTGACTGCGGGTTGAGTCTCAGACCCGGTGACTTAAACTCACACCGGGCACGTGTGCATGAATGCCCAAGATTCCGAGGTGAATGGAGGAGAAGGGATCGCAGTGTGGCCATACCCCCTGGGGGGGGTGATTTCTTGCTTTCTATCTCTCTGTCTCTTTGTCTTTCTGTCTTTCTGGTGAGTGCGCAACAGCCCGCCCAAAAAAAAAAAAAAAGGAAAGAAAATCATCCCCTGGAGGGATGACCACATCACAATCTCTTCTCTTCCATTCTCCTCTCGGGATTTTGGGCATGCACACACACGCACCTGGCATGAGGTTTAAGCCACTGGGTCTGGGTCTCAAACTGCGGTCAACTATGTGGAAGTCCAGTTTAATAACCATTATGCCATCTGCTGGTCCCAAAATAACCTTATTTCTAAGTTGGGAGATACCTTACTTCATTATTATGAATTGAACTGTACTTTTTTTTTTTTTTAATAGTGTCCATGGGCTACTCCTCAAAATACAATCTCTTGTTCTTTGGCTGATGTAATGAGTGAACAGTTGGCTAAAGAATTACAATTAGAAGAAGAAGCTGCCACTTTTCCTGAAATTGAGTAAGTATAATTTACAAAGTACATATCTAGCACTTACTATAATTAAGTTTTAGGATTTGATTAGTAGTTATCATGACAAGTGATTAAGAAACATTTAGAAAAGCAATGCAGTAGAAACAGAACCATATCCACTGATACTTGGATTTTGGTCCTGACTCCATGACTGGTTTTTAGTATTTTCTTGGACAAAACTCTGTTACTCTGTTTTAGTTATTTCATGTTAATGCAACAGTTGAACTAGATGAGGTACAGTTTTGATCAAGTATTTGTAGTTTATCTTTTCATACTGAATGCTCCTTTGATTAGAACACAGAATGAATGACTTCTGGGTCTCTGTATGGATTTTCATTATAGACCCTTCAGCTTTCTCTCCTAGCCCTCCTACTAGGGTACTGGCAGCAGTAGTGCTATTGGTATCAGGCTAGTTGGGCAGGAGAGAGAGAATGGTTTGGAAGACATATGAAAAAGGGACGGTCTACCCCCATAATTGGTAGCATCTGTTTACACAAGCACATTATATTAGTTTATATCACCTTATTTTGAATAGTGTTGCTGAAGGACCATATATTACTGGAGAAAATATTGACACTTCCAGTGACCTAATGCTGGCTCAAATGCTACAGATGGAATTTGACAGAGAATATGATGCACAGCTTAGGCGTGAAGAAAAAAAATTCAATGGAGATAGCAAAGGTACTATGACCTTATTGTGACAACTCCATTGGGTGGTAGAAAATATTTATAATGTGTTCCTGAATAAGTCTTTAACCTTTTTGCCTTTGAAGTTTCCATTTCCTTTGAAAATTATCGAAAAGTGCATCCTTATGAAGACAGTGATAGCTCTGAGGATGAGGTTGACTGGCAGGATACTCGTGATGATCCCTACATACCAGGTATTGATACTTTTACCTTGAGGGAATTTAGAATGGGGATATCAGAAGACTCATTTTTCCAATGAACACTTTTTGTTTTATGTTTATCTTTAAATGTCATTCATTAATTTACTTTGTTAGATTCAAATGTCTTTTCAGACAGTGTTTAACGCAGCAATTTAGTCTTTGCTATTTTTATATACTTGGCTTGTCTTAATCCCCTTTAGCAAAACCAGTTCCTACTCCCAAAAAGGGTTTTATTGGAAAAGGAAAAGACATCACCACCAAACATGATGAAGTAGTATGTGGGAGAAAGAATACAGCAAGAATGGAAAATGTAAGTTACAAAAAATATCTGTCTCTGAACTGAGAATTTTGTTTAAATAAAATTTTAAAACATAGAAGTCTATATACAATATCTGAAATTTGTAAAAATATTTTCCTTTTGTTCTAAAAATGTTTTAGGTCACAATATAAGAATGACACAAAATCTCAGCCACAAATGAGAACATGGAGTGCCTTAGAATAAAATTTTTTTTTTTTTTGGTAGAGAGGTTTTTGCTATAGGACATGCACTTGCTGGAGAGAGAGAGAGAAACAGAGAGACAGAAAGCTAGAAATCACCCTCCCCAGAGGGAATGGCCATGCCACAATCCTTTCTCCTCTGTTTTCCTTTTGGGATTTTGGGCATGCATGCACACACATGCGCCTGGTGTGAGTTTTAAGCCGCCAGTCCTGGGACTTTAACCATGGTTGACTACATGGGAGTCCAGTGACGTAACCATTACGCCATCTGCTGATTCCTTCAGCCTTTTTTAAAAATTCTGTAATATTTTTAAATCTAATTTGACTTACATTGATTCTAAAATGAATAATTCTTATGAAAAGAAAATTTATTCTTGAGCATATATTTTTCATAACATGGCACCCCTACCCAAGAAAGAGATGACAGTGGTGACTGGGACATAGGAATAGAAGGGAGAAATACTTTTTACTATATACCCTGTTATACTTTTTGAAAATTTTAACTGTGCCTGAAAACTACAAAATCAGAAATAAAATGTAATTTAAGGGGGGCCAGCAGGTGATGTGGTGGTTAAAGTGCTGGACTCCCACATGGCCAATAGCAGTTTCAGTCCCAAACCTGGTGGCTTGGTTTCTCACTCACTTTTTCTCTCTCTCTTTTCAGTCATTCTTTTACCTTGACTTGCTTAAAAATGTTGAAACCATTGGCAGAAAATAGTTGACAGACTTTAGGACACAAATACTGGTTAACTAAATATATTATAAAATTGTATCATTCCTAGAAACATTCCAGATGGGAACAGGGCTGTCCAGTTCTGTGATAAGGGAGATGCTATTATCTGTGCTGTTGTTGTAGCCACATTTACACATTACACTATTGAGCACTTGAGATTTGGGTGGTATGGCTAAGGAACTGAATTTAAAATGTTTAATTTTAGTGCACTTTAATTTAAATATCCACATGTAGGTGTTGGCTACCATATCAGTCTGCACAGCTTTAGAACACATTTGTAATGCTGTGGGCATAACTTGCTATACTAATCTAGTCCTGGGAAATAATTATGAAATTGTGTTTCTTTGGGAAGGTCTGGTGAAACTTTTAACATGCAATATTGTGTCCTTCAGCTGATATAAAAGCAAGATACGAAGCAGATGCTGAAAGACTTTAGTTCTGGATGTGATTAGATGTTTTTGGTGCATAGAATAAACACTGTCCTTTGGGTTATCATTTTAAAAAAAGTGTTGCTCCTCTTTCTGCTGGGTTTGTTAGTGATTTTTTTTTTTTCTCAGTAGTAACTATGGATTTGCTTTCATAGTATGATCACTATTTAGTAGGAAACTTGTTCGAGTGAAAGTGATCTTTTCCTTTTTTTGTTTGTTTTTACTGCTTTTACTCCATTTTAAAGTACTCAAGTGTTAAAATGAGACTAATTCTTAGTCTCATTTTGCAGTTTGCACCTGGGTTTCAAGTAGGAGATGGAATTGGAATGGATTTAAAATTATCAAACCATGTTTTCAATGCTTTAAAACAACATGCCTACTCAGAAGAACGTCGAAGTGCCCGCCTCCATGAGAAAAAGGAACATTCTACTGCAGTAAGGATTCTTTTTTTTTTTTTATCTTGAATGGAAAGATTCATATTAGAAAACTGTGGGGGGAGAAAAGAGACCTCTTCTATGTTATTTTTTCATAAGACTGGCATTTTAAAACAATGATATAAATACAAGCCAAGTGACTTTGCTATTTGACTTTTCAGATTTAACATAAGTTTATTACTCACTTATTCAGAACTTTAATTCAACCTGCGTAGTTTCCATTGCAGGTGACTATTCTAGGATTTACAAAAAGAAAAAAGTTGTTTCCTATTATTATTGACGTATTTGTGACTTAAAAGTCTCTAGTGTTTCGTATTAATGAAGCTAATGTTTAATAACTTGAGAATAAACTAACTTATTAAGTCTATGGAAAAATTAATGATAAGAATGCTAGGAGAGCTATTTAAACTTTGGGTATAAAATAAGATTTTGAGTAAGCTAGTGTTTACTTTTATGCTTCTTTTAGGTAGTCACTTTTAGAGACATTTAGAGTTATTTTTTTAGGAATGAATTGTATCTTGATAGTACTCTTAAAAGCCTGCTATAAACATCTAGGTATGCTAAATAATAAATACTAAAAAGAGAAACTATTTAGAATGTTAGCTATTAGAAATGACTTAGAAAATGTTTTATGATTAACAGTTATCTTCACTTAATAGTGCTTTATCTTTTTCAGGAAAAAGCAGTTGATCCTAAGACACGTTTACTTATGTATAAAATGGTCAACTCTGGAATGTTGGAGACCATCACTGGGTGTATTAGTACAGGAAAGGAATCTGTTGTCTTTCATGCATATGGAGGGTGGTAAGTGAACAAAATATGATCATGTAAATAAAACCATGGTCTCTTCTCTCCAAGATGAATGGATTTATGCAAAATCAAAGTCCATGCTGCTTGGCAAGCAGAGTTATTTTATTTTTTAAAATATTTTTTATTTCAATTTTTTTTTGGGGGAAGAGGTTTTTTCCTGTAGGATACATGCACTCGCCAGAAAGACAGAGGAAGACAGACAGAAAAATCACCGCCCCCAGGGGTGATGACCACACTGCAATTCCTTCTCCTCCATTTTCCTCTTGGGATCTTGGGCACGCACGCATGCACATGCACCCAGTATGAGTTTAAGCCACCAATTCCAGGACTCGAATTGTGGTCAACTACATGGGAGTCCAGTAACATAACCATTACACCAACTGCTGGTCCCTTCAATTTCTTTTATACATTCAGTCACATATGTCACTTAGCTTGTAAAGTGAATGTTCCATCATGAATACATTTCTCACCAGTCCAGTTGGGGGCAGGCAGAGTAATCTTAAAAGAGTCATTGTAGAAAGTCTAGACTCTGCGCTAGCTAGTGGTGTAGTAGTTAAGGTGGTTGAGTTCCTTGTGGCAATTGTGTGGTTCAATTGTGTGGTTCAACTGTCAAACCTGGTGACTTAAAAACATGTTGGGCCTATATGTGTGCATGCCCAAAATCCCAAAAAGAGAATGGAGCAGGGATTTCCTCCCGAGGGTGCTTTCTCACTTTCCCTCTCTCTGTTTCTCACCCCCCAGAGGCATGACCACACTGCCATCCCTTCTCTTCCATTCTTCTGGAACCTTGGGCACACACACACACATACCTGGCATGATTTTCAAGCCACCATGTCGAACCGCAATTGGCGATGTGGGAGTCCAATGCCTTAACCACTGTGCCACCTGCTGGCCCCATCACTTTGATTTTTAAAAGTTATTTAACTAGTATCCCTTTCTAGATAAGACATACACATATAATTATATATTGAATTATATTAGTAAATTCCAAAATGAAGACAATAAAAATGAATGTTAAGATAAAAATAGTTTAGGGACCAGCAGATGATGTAATGGTTACGTCGCTGGATTTCCATATTGTCAACTGCAGTTTGAGTCCCGGTGGCTTAAAACTCATGCCAGCCACATGTGTGTGTGCACCTAAAATCCCGAGAGGAGAGTGGAGGAGAGGGGATTGTGGCATAGCCATCCCCTCTGAGGGGTGATTTCTCGCTTTCAGTCTGTCTCTCTCTTTGTCTCTCCTGTGAGCACACATACCTGATAGCAAAAACCTCTCTCTCACTAAAAATAAAATAATTTAACATTTCCAGTGTGATCTCAGCAAGTTACTAAACATCAGTTTAAAGTTGCACCTCTCCTCAGGATTTTTATGAGCATAAATCATTATCATATTTGATAATACCTGGTATATATTAATCTTAATAAACACCTTATTTATTCCTATTTTAAGCTTTCTTTTCCTCTTTTTAAATCTCAGCTGTGGGAGCCCTGAGACAAGGCACATAAAATTTAATGGCACCAATTATTTTAAAATGAAAGAATGCTTACTGTGGTAAATTAAACTTATAGAACAGCCCAGCTGCAGTAGCACGTGCTGGTTGATGCTGTTATTCGACAGGCTGAAGCTCCATGGGAGTCCTAGCTTAAAATTCCTAGCCTAGCTTAAAAGCCAGGGACGGTGGTATACAAATGTTCTCAGGAGGCTGAAGTGGGTGAATCACGTAAGGATGACCTGTCTACAAAAAACTCTACAGAAAGGATTAAGATATAAAGTGGGTGTAATCAGGTTATGTACCTAACTGTAGAACTGCAGGCCACATGTTGGCTGTGGTGAGAATGTCTGCCAGTCGGCCTAAAACATGTCAGGGGACCATGCTTAAGCCTGGGATTCCCGCAGACTGAAGAACTGGAGGAGAGGGATTGGGGCATGACTGAGCGCTATGGAGGGTGTCTATCTGTCTATCTTATGCATTTGTTCTAGCATGAATACTTTTTTAAAAAAGGTTCATGGAACAGCTCATGGCATGGTGGTTAAGATGGCTGGATTCTGTGTGACTAACTGAATTGTTTGAGTTATGGACCAGTGGCATGGGAAACACACTGGGCACATGTGCTTGTGTGCCCCAAATCTTGAAAGGAAGAAGAGATAGAGGAGAAGGGATTGCAGTGTGATCATTCCCCATAGGGGTGTTTCTCACTTCTCTAACTCTAGCAAGCTCATGCACCCTCTAGCAAAATTAAAAATAAAAAAAGGTATAAAGTAACTTTCATATCACCTACCCTCTTCCTGTAGATCTTTTCTCCAGAGATACCTACTCTTAACAGTTTTTAGTCTTCTTGGGGTTCTTAACCACCAGATGGCATGGTGTTAAGGGCACTGGACTTCCACATGGCCAACTGTAGTTCGAGTCCTAGACCTGGTGGCTCTCTCTCTCTCTTTCTCATTCTATCCTTCTCGGGTCAAATTTAAATAAATAAGTAAGTAAGTAAATATTAAAATAATTCTTATAAAAAAGTTTTTATTCCTTTTTTGTTGTTTGTGCACAATTAAGATCTATGTTCGGGATCTTAGTATTTTTGTGCATAGGGCACATGCACTCATTGGAGAGAGACAGAGAGCAGGAAAGTGAGAAATGACCCTACAGAGGGGATGGCCACACTGCAATCTCTTCTCTTCCAGTCTCCTCTCAGGGTTTTGGGCACACATCACATGCGCCTGGAGTGATTTTCAAGCCGCTGGATCTGGGACTCAAACTGCGATCTGCCATGTAGGAATCCAGCGCCTTAACCACCATTCCACCTGCTGGCCCAAGGAATTTTTAAAATTAATATATTATTATTAATATTCTGTACTACTAGCTTTTACCATTCTGGTTTTTTTTTTAACTATTATTATTATTATTTTGAGAAGTTTTTGCCTTAGGACATGTGTGTTTACCACAGAGAGAGAGAGAGAGACAGAGAGAAAGTGAGAGAAAGTGAGAAATCAAACCCCCTAACCCCCCCATGCCCCAATCCCTTCTTTATTTTCTTTCTGGGTTCTTGGACAGAGATGCACACAGGCCCAGTGTGATTTTCAAGTCATAGGATCCAGGACTCCAACCATGGCCAGCCATGTGTGAGTCCAGTGACATAATTGCCACACCTACTGTTGGCTCCTATTACTGTTTTTTTCATTTGACCAGAGAGAGACAGAAAGAGGGAAAGCAAGCTGGCAGGTTCAGGATTTGAATGGTGATTGGCCATTTGGGAGTCCAGTGCTTTAACCACCATGCCTCTTGCCAGTCCTACCACTCTGTTTTTTAAAAATAATACATTTTATTGTGTGAATATAAAGGAATATCCTTGTACATATAAGTTGGTGTACTTTTACAAATGTATCCTTAACCTAAATTCTTCTTCTTTTTTTTTTTTTTAAGAGAGAAATTTTTGCTATAAGGGTGCATGTGCTCACTGGAGAGACAGAGAGACAGAAAATGAGAAATCACCCCATAGTGGAAATAGACATGCACGCACATGCACCCAGCATGAGTTTTAAGCTGCTAGGTCAGGGACTTGAACCGTGGTTGACTACATGGAAGTCCAACAGCATAACCATTATGCCATTTGCTGGTCCCCCTTAACTTAAATTCTTAACAAAATTGCTGGGGCAAAAACCAATATGTATTTTTTTCCCTTTTTGTTAACAGTGGAAGTCTTCATTGAATGAGGAACATCTGATTCTGCATTGTTTAGGCCTCTGAACTGGCTATTATAGCAAGCATGTTTCTTGATTTCTTTTATTTATTAAATTTTTATTTTTAAAAATTTGCCAGTGTATGCACTTGCCAAAAGAGAGGCAGAGAGAGAGAGGGAGAGGGAGTAAGCATCCTTGAACATGGCATAGTCATCCTGCAATCCCTTCTCCATTTCTTCACTCTGTCAGGATTTTGGGCATGCACACACATGTGCCTGGCATACTTTTCAAGTCTGTGGTGTCAGCCATGTGGAATCTGACTACCTTAAACACCAGAGCCATCTCAAAACTTCATTTTAACATTAAGAATTATTTTTTCTTGTATGTTTTACTAAAAGCCCAGACTCTTTAAGTTTTGTTTGTCTTTAAAGGTAGAACAAATGTAATTTTCCCTCTTTGCTAGTCAAATCTGCAGGGTGTGAACATTTTATCAGTAGATACTGCCGCAATGCCCATCCCAGGTGTATTGTAGCCTATTTTAAAATGTGTATATCTCCATTGTCTCTCAAGCTTGACTCCATTGTCATTAAGTGAAGAAATCATATTAGAGGTGTTGAAAATACATTTTATTTAAAAACTCAAACCAAAACCTAAATTTTTATTAAGGTCCGAAACTTGAAGGCTTAAAAGAAAAAAACAACAAAACTTGACACTCAGTATCAACAGATCTATGTAGTGTTTATAGAACCTTTATTTTGAAATTGCTTTGCTTATGAACTGGCAAATCGCACTGACTTAATTTTTCTTCTTCCCTTTAGCATGGAGGATGAAAAGGAAGATAGTAAAGTTATACCTACAGAATGTGCCATCAAGGTATTTAAAACAACCCTTAATGAGTTTAAGAATCGTGACAAATATATTAAAGATGATTTCAGGTTTAAAGATCGCTTCAGTAAACTAAATCCACGTAAGATCATCCGCATGTGGGCAGAAAAAGAAATGCACAATCTCACAAGGTAAAGGAAATCACTGTGCTAGACATAATCTTGGGTGATTACATTTTTATATCAAGACCAAAAAAAAAATCTGTGTCTTTTTTAAAAATTCATTTATGTAAATAATGAAAGGCCATGTATATAACTTAAACTCATTCTTTTAGGATGATAAAGCCATTTTCTTTTTTTTTTTTCTTCATTAAGTTTGGGGGGAACTAAGGCATTTTCTGCCTGTCATTTTATTGTATACCTAAATGCTGTCTTTTAAATTGTCTTTCTTAAGAATGAAATTTCCAGCTTCTAATTAGGCCTATCATAAATAATCACTTCCATTTTTGTTTTAAAAAATGTTTATTACATCTAATTTGTTAATTTGATAAAAATAGGCTGTTATCCAATGAAATTGCATTTTGCTTTAATTTATTAGACTTGTTTTTCAATTCTCTATGCAGTTTATTTTCTATCAAGGATTTTGTTTTCTTAACCAAGAAATTGAGTAATAATCCTCATTAATAAATCTTTCCACTACCTTAATTTATTGAAAGATTAATTTTAGTTTGTTCTTTTTAAAGATACATGCTTCCAAAAGTAATTAGTTGCAGACTTCTTGGATATGAAACTTTCCAATAGAATAATTTCCTAAGAGGTCTTGCTGCCCTCCAATCTCCTTTTTATACCACTTTGATCTTATTCCAGCCTTTCTTAAAATTCTTCAATAGCTTTCCATAGTCTTTATTATAAGGTTCAAAGACCTTTCATGATACGGAGCTTGTCTGTCTCTGTGGCTTCAACTCACATTGCTCTTCATTCTACTCAAAAAGCCAGCTAGTTGGTTGATTTTCATTCCCCATATGGACCATGCCCTTGAATGCTTTGTGCTTTTCCTTGCACTGTCTCACTCTGGCTAATTCCCATTCCCACTTCTTCCTCTAATAATGCAGTGTGCTCCCGTAGCTCCTGCCCATGCTTCTGGCAATGCACGTGTCATGATGCACTGTACTCAACTCCCATTTCCACCAGTACATGGGTTTCTCATGAGCAAACAGTGTGTCTGATTGTCTTTGTATCCCCATATCACCAGAGAATAACATAGAGCCAGCTCATTACAGGCCCCGGTTAGCTATTTATCGAATAAGTGACATATATTTTCCTTTTGATCATTACATTCTTAATTGTTTCTTTCTGTATAGAATGCAGAGAGCTGGAATTCCTTGTCCAACAGTTGTACTGCTCAAGAAACACATCTTAGTTATGTCTTTTATTGGTCATGATCAAGTTCCAGCTCCTAAATTAAAAGAAGTAAAACTCAGTAATGAAGAAATGCAAGATGCCTACTATCAAACTCTTCATGTAAGTTGTACCTTTAACAGCATTCACATATCAACTTTTTAAATTATTTCCTCTAGGCCCAGCTGCTATGGCACAGTGATAACAAGTGCTCTGTAATGCTAGAGGCCATATGGCCAACTGTGGGTTTGCAACCATGGGTTTTCTAAAACATTCTGGGTGCATGCATGTACACACCCAGGGTCCTGAGGAGCTGGACAACTGGGGGTGGGGGGAGTTGTGGCATGATGAGACCTTATTGAGGTTACCTCTCTCTTCTCCTCAAATCTTACATACACATGCATGTAAGGATGCTATCAGGATAAAAAATAAATAAAGTGGGCTGGCACTTTAGCCTTCTGGTTAAGGGAGCTGGATCCCACACGGCTGACTGCTATTCAAATCCTGGCCCTGGTGGCTTGAAAATCATGCTGGGCACGTGTGTGTGCATGCCTAAAATCCCAGGAAGAGAATGGAGGAGAAGGGATTGTAGCATGACCACATCCCATTGGGAGTTGCTTGCTTTTTCTCCTTCTCCATCTCTGTCTCTGGCAAGCACATGCAATCTCTGGTACTTAAAAAGAATTATTTTCCTCAGGCCCAGCTACAGTGTACAAGTGGCACAGTGCAGTTATGCAAGGCTGGGAACACATAGAAGGGTCTAGGTTTGGATTCTGAACCAACCTAAACAGGCCAGGCACAGTGGTGTGGGCCTGTTATCCTGCCTAACTAGGAGGCTGAGACAGATCATTGCAATGGCAAGACCCTGTCAGAAATACTTCTCTGTCTCTCCTTCCTCCTCTTTCTTTCTCTTCCTCACTCATTAAAAAACAAAAACAAAAACAAAATTCTTTGGGGTTAGCTGGTAGTGTGGTGGTGGAGGCGGCAAGATCCCATATGGCCAACTCTGACCTAGTGGCTTGTAAAACACTTGGGCCTGTTTGCCCAAAATCCTGAGAAGAGACTGGAAGAGAAGGGATTGCAGTGTGACCATCCTCCTGGGATGGTGCTTTCTTACTTTTCCCTCTCTGTCTTTCTGTCTGTCTGTCTCTGGTTAGCACGTGTGCCCTGCAACAAATTTAAAAAAAAAGAAAAGAAAAGAAAAGAAAACCTTAAGTAGTACTATTTCAAGATGATATAACAATGATAAACTGAATTTTGTGAAGGAATGTTAACATTGAAGAATTGTTTTTCTCTCAATATGTGGGCATCTACAGTAGTTTTAGAAAGCTTACAGACTTATGGGGCAAGGGAAGCCTTCACTGTTAGCATTAGTGACAAAGAACATAAACCTATTTTTCACAAAACTTCGTTAAATAAATAAATAAAATTTGGCATTACTACATGCATCAGATGTGGTATCTCATTAGTTTGTATGCCTTCTCGAATGTTATGGCTCTAACAGTGAAGGGATTTCCTATTATTGAGAAATTAGCGGGAAGCAGATTTGGTCTTATAAGAAGATAATGACGGGAGCCAGTAGTTGGCGGCATGGTGATTAGAGTGCAGGATTCCCAAATGTCAGACCACAGTTTGAGTCCTGGACCCGGTGCCATGCTTTCTCACCTTCCCTTTCTCTTTCTCTCAGGTCAAATTAAATAATAATAATAATAATAAATAAATAAATTAAAAAGAAAAGAAAAAGAAAATCATCCTAGGCACATGTGCCCCAAATCCCAGGAGACTGGAGGAGAAGTGACTGCAGTATGGCCATCCCCCAGGGGATGATTTCTCACTTTCTCTCACTATCTCTGGCAAGCACACATACCCTAAGGCAAAAACAAAAACAAAAACAAAACAAAACAAACCTCCAAAAAGGAAAAAGAAAGGATTATCTCTCTGTGTGGCAGGAAGTACTTTTTACCTTTGAATTGTATATACTCCAGAGAGGTCTCAGTGGAACATTTATCCTTTTATAAAGGGAAGTGGCTTACTGAGAGGCCCTGGTAATTAACCACAGACAGGGCTGCTATCTTTCCAGTGAGGGAATCGGGTCTGCCTCTTGACCTCCTGATCTTGCTGTCACAGGGCAAGGAAGCAGAGTATCACAGAGCCCTTCCTTTGTCTCTCGGTTCCCCTGCTGTACCTAAAACAAACAAACAGAAAATCTAGTCTTAGCTTATACAGAATAAGAAGAGAATACATTTTTTTTACCTTGTTTTTCTGGAAAATATTGGTTGATAGCACACATTTTAGTTGTATAGGAAATAAGAATTGTTTCTTCATTTCCTAAATGTTTGCCTTCCTTCCTTACAGTTGATGCAGCAGTTATATAATGAATGTACACTTGTCCATGCCGACCTCAGTGAGTACAACATGCTGTGGCATGCTGGAAAAGTAAGGAGCATGTCTTGTTAACGTTCAGATTCAGTAACCTGATATAGATGATCGACTGTAAATACATTAGCATGTGCTCTGTATTTCAACAGGTCTGGTTGATTGACGTTAGTCAGTCAGTAGAACCAACCCACCCTCATGGCCTGGAGTTCTTGTTCCGTGACTGCAGGAATGTATCACAGGTAGGGATGTAAATCAATGTCCTTCTTTTTGTAACAAGGCCAAATGTTTTTCTCACTCCTAAGATCAGATGACAATATTCTTAGAGACTGAAGGAAAAGATACTGGCTACTTTCAAGTTCAGGACATAGAGATCAATTTGTCAGATTTCATCTTCAGCAAGAATTTGATACCATGTCTCACATTTGGACAAAATTCCCAAGGGCACAGTTTTTGTTTTGGCACCTAATGTTTAAGTAGTTAACATTAAATGCTTATTATATCCCAGAAGCCAGGACATAATAAGCCTACATGCCTACTGTCATTATTGCTGTTAAAGTGAGGATAGTCTTGAGATGCTGTCTGATCACTGCACTGTGAGGAAGAGGAAAACTATTAGAGAGGCAGGAACTCAGTAAGCCTAGAGTTGGGGCATATTTTTTTTAACATTTATAAGGAGAACAAGTTGTTAGCAATAGGTTCAGATAAGAATGACCTTCTCTAAAGGATAGAATAAGGCCTAGCCACTGTGGTGCAACAAGAGCACAACCCTCTGCAGTGCTGGAAGCCATATGGACGATCAGGGTTTGGTTCTTGGATCAACCTATATATGCTAGGCATGTACATGTGCCCATGAGCCTGGCTGGGTTGGAAGGCATGGGGCAGGATCATAGCGTAAGGTGCTGTTGAAGGTGCTTCTCTCTCTCTCTCAAGGCTTAAACTTAGAAAAAATAATAATAAAGGAGAGAATAACTTCATGTTGGAAGTAACCTATGAGCCTGCTTAAAAACTTTAATTCATGAGATTTAGTGAATAATTGTATTTACATAGTCAAAGCAAGGGCAAGCAGTTGTTTGTAGCACTCATATTTAATAGCTATAGAAGGGGTAGAATGACAAACTAAAATCCAGAAGACAGAATGAATATGTAAGGACAAAAAGTATGTAGAACTTGAGTATAGATAAACTTGAAGAGAAAAATCAATGGTTGAAAGGAATTCAGTAGTATCTTACAAGTATTCTCCCTATTTTTAGTCATCAGGGAACCTTGCAAATACTTTTTACTGACTTTTTTTTATTTCTTTATCAGTTCTTCCAGAAAGGAGGAGTGAAGGAAGCCCTTGGTGAACGAGAACTCTTCAATGCTGTTTCAGGCTTAAACATCTCAGCAGATAATGAGGCTGATTTCTTAGCTGAGGTAAGTGATATATGACTGTTTTCTACATTGTAGTAATGGAAGATGCATGGAGTAGATTACCATAAACCCAGAGCTCAGTGTATCCTCTCTACCCCTAAAACAAAATTAGAGAATTTTCTTTTCTTGAGACATTGTTTTAGTCTTTGCCAGGTTTTATAATTTAAACACACAGTGAAACATTTCTTGAAGAAGATCCCAGTTTGGTTAAGATGGACAAATGACTTATTTCCAATATTGTCTTATTTCCCCTATTTAATGGGTGAAGAAGGTGACTGGGGAACATTGGGTGATATAAAAAACAGTACGACGTGGTCCCCACCCTTAAGCAAACATAGAAAGTTACAAGTGCCATTTTGGACCATCCAGGTGATGTAGTCAAGGCAGCTGGATTCCACTTGGCTGACTCTGCAGTTCTAGTGCTGCATCCAGCAGCTTGAAAAATATGCCAGACACCTGTACGTGCATACCCAAAATCCCCAAAAAGAGAATGGAGGAGGAGGGATTATGGTTATCCCATTGGGTTGATTTCTTTCTCTGGTGAGTGCATGGGCCCTATAGCAAATGCCCCCCCAGAAAAAAAACCACAAAAACAGGAAGTGGTTATTTTTAGAAATACCCAGTCATTATAATAATCAGATGTACAGAACCATAAAAAATTCCTCCAGTGAAGAGCTCTTTAAATTGAGCAAAAACTGCAAAGTGAAATAGCAGCTAATTACTTCTAACATATACCAAACCAAAGAATGATAGGAAGATGGTAAATTTAGCCTTTGGCACTATAGTTGCTCAGTAAGTAGGTGCTACTATTGTTGAATGTTGACTTTTTTTTCTGTTCCCAGAAAGCTTTGTAGAGTACACCATCAGATATATCTGATTCCAATTACTAGCTTCATAAAGACAATAAATATTGGTCCTGGTAATATAATCAAGTAAAAAAAAAAATAGATGTAGGGACTATCAGATGGCATAATGGTTACTTTACTGGATTCCCACAGTCGACCGTGTTTTAAGTCCCAGACCCGGTGTCTTAAAACTCATGCTGGGCGTGTGTGGTGCATGCCCAAGATCCTAAGAGGAGAATAGAGGAGAAGGAATTGCAGCGTGGCCATCCCCCTTGTGGGGTAATTTCTCATTTTCTCTCTCTCTCCCTGTCTGGTGAG